AAACCAAATTGCACGAAATTAGCGAATATACACTCATTTGCAAACTCATCTGCAAACGAGAGATTCAGCGGGGTTCCTGGTGAGGCTCTCGAAAGAACCAAATTTGTTTGCAGATGAGTGTATATTCGCTAAGACTAATTAATATTAATGATTGCTGATCGTTTGGCGAAATACCTTTTTTTCGAATTAATTTGGTTTTGCGGGAGATTCACCTGGAGCCCAGCTGAATCCCCCTTTTATGATGTTTCCAGGCAACTGAATGTGCTGCACCAGGCCGCGTAGGTCACGAGAGATCGCGATGCATGTGTAGACGTACTGCACTACTCATTAGGTTGCCTGAAAATTCGTCGACAGCCGACGACCAGTTCCGGACTCCCTGGGGCTCGTCAAACTAATGTTCCACTTGAGACCAAATGGCACGAAATTAGCGAAGTACACTCACCTTCAAACAAATTTGATCTTGCGGGGGACTCACCTGCAAAACAGATTAATCTCTTGCCCCAAGAAGGGCGAAACCGATCGTGGGCTTTCGAAGAATTCTCAGCAACCTTAGTATTAGTGCGTTACGCCTATATATGTATCGTGATATTCGAATATCGTAACAACCGAAACGTGATACGGCCTGTGTGCAGCACATTCAGTTGAGTGAAAACATCATAAAAACAAGAGATTCAGCTGGATTCCAGGTGAGTCTGTCGAAAAATCAAACTTGATCGCTAAATTCCTGCAATTCGGTCTCAATTAGTAGAAAAGATTGACAGAAACTCGGGGACTGAGCCTATCTGATGCTTCTCGTCTAGTTCAATGTCTTCTAATCTGAACCACAAAAGGAGTCACCACGGGGACCCAATGCTCAATGGAGTGGCGGCTCAGTGGAGCTTTCTAGCTGCGTCAGTGCTCTTCATAATGCGATCGGCTATCAGTTATCCTTGTTTGTCTTCTGTTGTCTTGGATCTTTGTCCGCTGTGTGCATTAGGTCATAAAGGGTAGATCCTTTTGGCAGCGGCAGCTCCGTACAGTGTTGTTTGTGCGATTCCCCATTACCATTCGCACAGAATCGGTCCTGTGGCAACATCTTCAACATACATGTACCAGATCACCCTGTCTCCTTACTGTAATTACTTACTGAACAAAAAGACTACACCATATCTCCTGTCTTCCATCCATTCGATACGATCTAAAATTTCGGTCAATCTGAAGAGGTTAATCTAACTCAGTTAACCCTGAACGGTGTCCCAGACTCCCCGAAAGTGAATTCGAGATTACACATGAGCCAAACGGAATGCTTTGTGTAACTGCAAAATCGGACAAAACTAAAACGGAAGCTGACAGTCCGCGAGTTTTATCAAAACGTTTCATAACTTACGTTACCTTTGGTGATGTCGCAGACTTTCTAGTCAATGATTTCAGGCCCTAATCACTGGGCTATCTCTGAAAATTTGGGTTCAAGTAGCGCATAGGTTTGTCGGAAGCTGGAGAACTGCGCCTACCTGATAAGCCACAGGAAGGATCGCGTCGTTGAAGAGTTTTCAGCAACCTTATGAGTATATCAAGTATACAGTACATTGCGATGCCTCGAATATCGTATCAACCGAAACATGAGGCGGCCTACTGGGGCACATTAAGTTGAAAGTGAGCCCTCATCAAAGAGCAAGTCAGATGGGTTCTTACCAAAACCATCTTGGTATGCAGATACATGCATCACAGTTAGTGACTTTAATCGGTGTGAAAAAAGACGTCAGTTGGTTAAAAATAGGAAAAGATTCCGCCTGTCTACCTACATGCTACAAATGGAGGTGAAAGTGTCCCTATGACATCCAATGCTCCCGTTCTGTTTCGCTACTCCAAAAGGCTGTAATTGGCCATAATTTGTCTTTTAAGCTGGAAAACCAAATCTTCAAAGATACTGGATTATGTATTAGTAAGATTAACCTCCATCCTCATCATCATCATCATCATCATCATCATCATCATCATCATCATCATCATCATCATCATCATCATCATCATCATGATTGTCAGCTGTAGGGAACCGCGTCTTGTCGTACAGTCGCACAGTTCCATTCACCGATGATTTGATGAGGTGTAGTAGGAAGTTGCAGGGAGCCGGGGGCTGATAAATTAGTGCGTAAATACAGCGCTGTAGGTGGACTACTAAATGGGGGATTGAGAAGGGAGCTACACATTAAAGGCAATCACTTTGATGCATGAGCGCCATTGAGGGCGCGACTGCACCATGTCTGACAATGTCTCTAGCCATTGATGTGGCCAGTCTCGGGGTCCCCATCCAGGAAGACGGCAGTGACCAGCGAAGCGGAGTTTGCTGGTAATGGCTTTTATACTTCACTACCAAGTTACTGTTTGACCGCCTCTGGCACTGCCACCCTTCACGTGGTTGTGCGAAAAGAGCCCTTGGAGGAAGTCGGTCGACTGGCATACGCAGCACGTGGCCAAGCCAGCGCAACCTATTCAGTGTGACCAGTTCATCTACATAGGGTGAGTTATTTCTCCCGAAAAACCATTCGACTTACTTCAGAATTGCTGAGTCGGTGTTGCCATCAGATTCGGGAAATTCTCCGGAGACATCGATGGTCAAACACTGAAAGTCTTTCGACGTATTTGGCGCGCAGCGGCCAGGTTCCTCATCCATATAGTAATGTGGAGTGCACCACAGCATTGTAAACTCGACCCTTGACAGACAAGCTGGTGTCACGCCCACGCCACAGGTGACGTGACGCCACAAAAGTTGTCCTGGCCTTCCCAATCCGGATGGAAATATCATCTTTCGCTAGACCACCGGGACTTGTAGAGCTACCCAGGTAAACAAATTTATCTACTACCTCAATCGGTTCATCCGCAAGCATGAGGCTAGGGTTCGAGCCCACCCAGTCTTGCAGTAGCACTTTACACTTTGTAGGTGTGAAGCGCATACCAAACCGCGAGGCAGAATTATTTAGATTATTTAGTATTGTTTGCATTGCCACGGGGTCAGATCCAAGAAGAGCTATGTCGTCTGCGTACTCGATGTTTGTGAGCGGACGTTCCGGGAGCACTTAGACCTCACAAGCATTAGAGGCTGGTAGTGAGCCTTCCATGATGGCATTAAATTCGCATTTGAAGAGGGGAGGTGAAAGGGGCAGCCCTGTCGGACACCACCTGACGTGGTGAACTCAGGAGAGAGCTTGCCGTAGACCTTCGCACGACCGTGGGAGTTGGCGTACAGCGCCGGATGAACACACGGCTATGGTAAATTTTCAACCTTCATACGGCTGTTACCTGTAGCTGATTGTGTTGCTCTCATCCGTTTACTGTTGTGCAGGAGATGTAACGTTTTTTGCCGTTTTCTCAACCTCAGTGATCCCGTTTCGTCAACGTTGGAAGTGTCTCACGAAGTGCACTCAGCTTGTACCGTTTTGAACGATTAGTGCTCAACAGATCCCATAGAGATCCCATAAACCTGTTGTAAGTTTGATTTGTGTATATTAAGAAGCAACAGGGCGGACTTGCACCGAACAGAACGGAATCGCCAGTGTTCACACTCCGGGACAACCTTAAAATGAGGTACAAAGCACTGGTCGGATAAACAAACTGTCACAAGATGACAGAATCACTGTCTGTTAATCAGCAAACCCATAAGCGGCTTGTGGGGCTGTACACTCTTGTTTCATTCACAATCGTGCATTGAGTGACGTGGAGAAAACGGACAGATAAACGTTGAATTTTTTGAACCATTTGACTCTCACGAATGTCCATTTGAGGTAGGGCTTGAGGACCTATCTACAACTCATCTCTACGCAGCTTCTTCACGTCGAGACAATTGTGTTGGGAACATGCATATGATTGACTATATGGCGTTGTGACCACTTGCCCCACGAAAATGTTTGCCGAACAGATCTAAACGCGGCTTGCAGTGACCGCACGCACGCTCTCTAGCGTCTCCCGATGTCTTGTTGAATGAAGCGATTGGTCTCATGTTTCAGAAGGGCTTGGTAAAAAATCGGTAGTACCAAATTGGGCAACGCTTCGCTTTTGACACAAAAATACCCAGTGAGCAGATCACCAAATTTGCCAGATTATACGGCATACGGAGAGCCAATTAGATTAGCACACTAGATCAGTGTTGATTGTCAATTAACGGCTCTTGTCGGTTGGTGTGGTTGCCAAAATCTTGATGTAATGGTTTGGTCGAGTTTCAAATTAACTCCGATCGTCTCTTGTTCATTAATCCTCCACTTCAGGGTGCTTCAATCGATGATTCACCGAGACGGCTACCGGGAGATTTTCCTTGGTCCGTGGGGTTTGAGGCGGGGGTGAAGTGGAATTCAGATGATGACTACTGTTCCTTCTGGTAACCGCACGCCAACACGTATCAGCTCGAATGATCCAAGACTGCCCTCCATACGCTTGCCAGTTCCACACCTTCTGTTAACACTGGGATGCTTGGAGATTTCATCATACGTTCATCATGTGTATAAAGTCAATCAACTTTCGGCCGCAAGGTTCACTCAGTGAATGAGAGGGCTCAAGAAGAAGGCTCACTGGAATAAGAGCTCTCAACTGCAGCCAAGGTCTTACTAGTCTGCGGGTCTCGATAGTTCTACCAAGAAACATACGAACCGAGAGGAACACAAGACTCTTCACGTCACAGTCAGAAGGAATCCGATTCAAAGACGATATACCGAAGGCTCCATATCACTCTGACCAGAGTTCTTGCCGCTGCAACAGTTCGAAACTGGGACGTTTGTATCCCATTAGGCTCGAGGATAAGGTGTCTGTTCACGTCCAGAATATGTCGACCTTTGCATGGTCTTTTGCGGCTACTGACTGACTGTCTACAATGCCAGACAGAATCACTACTTCATCGCACAGT